ATATGAGAACATGAAATCTACTGATTTATCCAAATGAAGTTATCATAGCTGTATCCACGAATAGGAACAAGAAAAAGATCTGAGACTTTCACAAAAAACTATTTTCATCGAGGCCTATTTCTATGCAAAGTTTCAGGTCAAAATTATAAACTCAGTTTTTCTGGTGTTCCTGAGGGGGACCACGGCATTCATTTAAAAACACATCGTAAAAATGCAATATCTCGACAGCTATAAGCTAGCAGCACGAACTCTTTTCAGGTTATTTATAGATCATTAGGGCCTATATGATGCTCATACTCTCGACTCAAAAGCAATGTGACACTTGGGAATGTTCCCTCGTAAGTTCAAACTTCAAAGTAACGTGCATGCATTTTTACAACGAAAGTAATGCTGTCATTTTTCATCAATGACTTCTATAATACATCCTAATATCGTCAACTTTACTCAGAGATTTGTGCGATGTAAAAAAAGAGAACTCTAGCATCGATACATGTTGGATATTGGCGTTCGTTTATCATTCATCGTACACAGAAGAAGTCTACAACTATAAAAAGCATGTCTTCTACGACATATTTGCTCTCCTCAATCGGTAGAATATACAGAACCAAGGTAACTAAATGAGAAAAAAAAACAGAAGAAAAAGTAAAAAAGAATTCTGCTTGTGTTTGTGTGCACACCATTGCAACAGGTTGATCTTTTTCAGAGGCTGCCAGGACAATATAGCAGAGATTTATTATAAAATATTTATTTAATAACAAGAATTGATATTTCCATCAACTTTGTTTCCATGTTTGTAAGAATTGTATTGTGCACATTATTCTTTACGGTATATATGACTATAACGATGGTAACCATTATTTTACATCTAAACAATCGAACACAATTTTCAAGTTATCGTCGGCAGAACTTTAATATTAATCTGAAACATATTTTTCATAATTCGGAGACTAAGATAAATATCACTTCAATAACATCCTACAATAGGTCTTCTCAATACATATGGTGTGTTAATCATTATGGTCCTAATAATCAACTAAAAGATTTTGTCAAGTGTTGTATAATAGCTATGATGAATAACTATACTTTAATTATACCTCCATTATATCCACATCATGGAAATACAAATAGAGGTATACAATGGTTTGATCATTTTTATGATTTAAAAGAACTTGGCCAAGCTTTGGATTTTATAACACTTGATCAATTCATATCAAAACCTAAGATCAATACACAGAAAGTGATGATAGATTGTTACATACAACAAATTGAACTCGTAGCAGGAAGAGCATGGTATTCAAAGAATGCATTAATATCAATACAAAATTATTACAAAATAAATATTGATTTTCATCGTTCAATCAATCTTTCTAGAAATGTTCATCCGGGCGAATTATTTAATAAATCCAAGGATTGTTCGTCTATATTTCTTCATATTCATTATACAACATTTCGACATTTCTTCTTATTTCCAAATATTTATATTAAAAAAATTTTTGAACATTTATATCGTTCTCCATTAATTCAACGTATGGCATCTCAATTAATTAATCAAATACCACAATTAGTCATCGGAAAAAATCATTCTCAAACTAAACTTCGTACATTAGCTGTTGTTCATATGAGAGTAGGAGATCATATCGTCATGCATTTATCTATGTATATTAAACAAATTTTATATTTGGTTAACAATGGTGTTCGTTTTACACATCTACATATTATGTGTCCATATCTAAATTCTACTGATATTAGACAATTAACTGATAGTCTTCCAATAGTATTTACTACTTCACAGCATTTATTAAATCATATAAATTTTGTCTTAGATCGTTATTTATTTGATGTATTAGAACAAGAAATAGCTTATCAAGCTCCAATTTTTATTGCATCCCCATGGACAACTTATTCAGCGACAGTTTTGATGCAAAAAGTATTTCAAAAGAAAGGAACTGTATATGTACTTTCTACAAAAAAAGATAATCGTCCATTACTTGTTACGAAACAAAATGTGAAATATTTCGAACAATAAAACTATTTATGAAACCTTTATCCTCAATGACGGTTTTAGATCAGCCACTAATAAAATAATCACACAAAAAGACGATTGATCTCGTCTATATGCAAATAGTATGGATAGATTGACTAGATGCATTTTACTTTATGCGGAATAGTTGAACCAATCCAGTCACCATTGGAAGAAACAAGAAAACACAACAATTTATCAAGTCGTAGTTTTCTTCACTACAAGAACAGTTTTGAGTAGATCAGAGCAGTATGTGTTTCTATTTTTGATTTGACTAATTTCATGAAGAAAAGAGTAAAAGATACGGAAAAAATATTTATAACAGCACATGCACTTTACACACAATCTTTTTTAACATATACAGGGGGTCTCAAAATAATAAGACCACCTCTTGAGTTTAGAGAACAATAAAGATTTCTTCAACTAAAGAAAGTTTCATTCCTAATCTAATATTATATTCATAGACACATAGTAGCAGTCTATCATGTGTCATATTGGTTTGAATTCGATCAATTAGCATTAATGAATAAATTCAAAAACTTTTGATTCTCCTCCGTCTCATAATGATAAGACTCTCCCCCCCCCTTCCCTTCTAAATATAAAAGTATTGAATTAATGCTAACTTTACCAACTCAAATGATTACTTTGAGGATCCATTCAAAAGAGAATACACCCAGGTATATGCTGAAAAAATAGATTGGCGAAGACTAATTTAACTATCTTACAGTTGAAGAAATTAAATGTTAGAAAAGTTAAATCTCAAAACTATTACTGTGTAGTTCAAGAAAAATAAATTTTCGCTTCTTCAATGTAACGAAATTAAATTTAAAGTATACTATTGAATAGAGAATCAAAGGTTGCATAGACTATATATATTTTGACAAAAGACTTTCAAGTTGTTAGTAATTGTGAAAAAATATTCGAAATATTTCTTTCTCTAGATATTATGTGAAAAATGTCTCTTTTTGTGAGAAAAAAACCTATGATTTCACATAGAAAAGCATATCATTTTTTTTTAAGGACATCAATAGAAAGAGC